ATTTAGTCTCTGGTCCTGCACAGATATGGCAATTAATGGTTACAAAGGTTAACAATTCTCTAATCGAATTAACTATTAACTATTAAGTAAATTTTCACTACTTAATGATTCAAGATTCTTTCTTTTGATTACATATTCAGTCCAGAATGTCCCCTTTTGCAATTACAAAAGGTCGAAAGGATAATAAAGATGATCCAGTGTTCAATGATCTCAATTATTGTTCCACACCTTCAAGCCGAGCTCAAAAGTTGAAAAGATGGTTGTCAATGTCAACACTTTCAAAAAAGAGGGTGTTGCTACCTGTAAAGAAACTCAGGAGTTCCTTAGTTGAAAACAGCAAATTGCATAGAACCCTTTATGGATTTATTGTTTTTGAAGTTGTGTGGAAAGATGTTCGTGGTGTCAATTATTTGAATGAATTGCAGGTATTTTCTTTATACATATTTCCGTATTTTTATTTTTATTTTTATTGTGGAGGAAGATTTTTTAAGTGTGTTTATGCAATATGAGCAGACTGATACATGTCTTGCTTTAGAGGCTAAATACATGAGACGATGGGAATTCGATAGTATAGCTCAAGCTGCTAAATGCATAACTTTATGGCTTCCCGGGACTCCATTTGAACGTCTTCTCTTGGAACAACATCTCAATTCTATGATAGGTAAACATTCATAAATCATAATTCAAATACATCTTCTTATCAAATGACCATTTTACCCTTACACAAACATATTTATTTCCAGGAGAAGCATTTCATGATGCGGGTACCGATACCCCTAGCACATGTAGTTCAAGTGATGACGAAAACATCTCAAAAATCGGCGTATTATCTGAAGATGATAATCCATGTAGTCCAAATCACTCGGAAAAATTAGAAGATCAAACAAATATTTCAAACACACCCCCTCTAAATATCAATAACGACGAAAAAAACCCATATCCCGAAAGATTAGAAGACCAAACAAATATTTCAAATACACCCCCTCCTGATACCGACAATGACAATTACAATGACAATAACAATGACAATGACACTGATACTGCCAGCTGTCAGATACCCTCCCCATCTCCAAGCGAATGTGTAGAATCAACCGACCCTGATCAATACATAGACGTACTTTTATTATTCCGTTTTAACGATCTTCACCTTCCATTTGAATTACGAAAAATAATAATGTCGGATTTACGATTACTTACATTATTAGAAGCCGGACTTCCATCTTGGGTTATTTTTTTCCAATCTTACCCTGTATTTTGTCATCTATATCGACCATGGATGTGTCCTTTAGCACGTGCGTTGTATGTCGCGATTTCGTTTGTAACGGTTGTAATTGGCTTCTATGACTTGTACAAAAACGTACCACTTCTTAAAGCAACGGCTTCCCGTTTGTTTGGACCTTTGTTTGATTGGATAGAAACATGGGAGATGGTGTCTAGGATTAAGTATTTGGGTACGATGTTGTTTTTGCATAATGCGGAGAAAGCTATCATGTGGTTTTTGATGGTGACGAGGACGATTCGGTCACTTGTTTCGGTTCTTACGCAACCGTTGGTTGCACCGGTTCTTTTGATTTTGGATGTTTTGTCGCCGTTGTGGAATGTTGTTATTGAATTTGGTGATGGGTTGTTTTCAGTTGTTGGGATTCTTCTAGAAACTTCTTGGAATCTAGTTGACAGTCTTATTGATGTTCTTTTGCTTCCGATTTGGTACATCTCGTCGGTTGTTTCCAATTTTGGTAACGTACTTTTTTATTACATTTTGGGAAATTATAGAAAAAACATTATGTTTTGAGCAATTTTGCAGTTTAACCATTTATATTTATTATATGATGTGACATGTAACAAATTGATCAACTTTTTGACCAGTATCATAAAATGGTAAATTTCCCAGTTGGTGGGGACCATTCATAAACCAATTTCACAATTGGAATTTGCCAAATGCAAAATTAGTGGTCATTTTGTGTTATTGGCAGAAATAACGGTCGGTCAATTTGTTAAATGTCACATCATACAGTGGTTATTTTTGTGAATATAAAATTCTCTCCAATTAAATCATAAAAGTTCAAAAGTTTTTTTTTCCAGTTTAATCGTTTTAACATGATATAACATGTCAAAATGGTTAATTAGGAAAAGTACAAATGAAACCTCATATAACAATTACCAGTGAAACCTTATACTATCAATATGGTTAATTTGGGAAAAAAATATCTTAAACTTTAATGTTTGATTGGATATATAAACGTAAAACTGACCAAAATATATATTTTTTTTCTTTTGTAATTTTTCTTTGAGTCTTTATTAAACTAACACCATGGTTTGAGTGATGTTGATAATATTTTAATTTTTGCCAATTTTTGCAGCAACAACTGTTATGTCCCCAATATTCTTGTGCCTTTGGGGAGCAATCTATGCACCAATTCACCTCATTCTGAAATTATCCAACTTTTTGGGATTTATATATAAATACATGTATAATTTTGTTGGAGGTATATGGCTGTTTGTAAGCAGTTTTGTAAAAGTTGCTTCAACTGCTGAAGCAACTGTGAAAACTTATGAGGTTTCCATGTGGCGCACCCTCTGGAACGACCTTTTTTCCCAGGTGGTTTTTTTAAATCTTTTAATATGTGTTTTATTTATAAAATATACTAATAAGGTTTTTTTACTCATGGAATTATCGTTTTGTTGTAGGTTTTTCGTGCTATAAAGAGCATTTTATATGGTGTTGCTGCGTTCTTTGCAGCTTGCAATAGACACAGATTAAGGTTAGATTTAGAAAAAAAAAATTAATACGTTGTTAATAATAAGAAGTTTAGTTTTGTTAAAATTAAAATCCCTTAGGTTTTATTCCTTTCGAAAAAAGTACCAAATAATAGAAGCCTGATTGAAAAGCTTTGAAATTGTTTGAATCTGCAGTATATACAACCATTTACGGGAGTTTATACGAAGACTTTATCAGCCTATGCAAAGATCAGAGGTCTTGAATTCTAACAATTTATATTTATTGGAGTTTTGAAAAAGTTTTTTTATGAATTTTTTTTATTTTGTTTACAGCCGGAACCGAGGGAACGAAGGATGTTACCTAATAAAAGCACGAAACAGAGTTGACAAAAGCTTATTATAGGTTTATCAAGAATTGTATATTTTGTTGTTATAGAAGAAGATTTAATGATAGGGAGATGTATATATAATGGTTGAATTTGTATATACTGTCTATTCTTTTTTATTTTATAGGAAGATGTTAATATAATGTTAGTCACTTCACAATGTAACAGTATAAACTTGATGTATTTTATAATGCTGAGATAGAAATTAATAGAAAGATAAATACGTAAACAAGACATATATGAGCCATTTTTCTTCCTATTATAAAGTCATGTAAGATATATTATTGTAACACGCTCATAAATCAACTGATGGATTTTGTGGTAGACAAAGGAAGCATAAGGATGCAGATAAATGACATCACCCATGTAGTTTCTACTTTCTAATGCCTATATATTACATTCCTGAACTTAAGAACTCAAGAGAAGGGGTTAGCTATTATATTGCAGAATGACACTCTCAAGGTTTTTCATTCTAAAAGGGTCTTAATTATGCAAACCAATATGAGCAAGAACATGTATTGTAGTATTACTTTCTATGCCATAATCTTAATAACATGTCATGTTTATCCTCCTTAATGATACTGTAAAAAAATAGCAAACCGCACCATCTGAGTGGAAGATGTAAACCCATATAGGAGGTCAATCATAGAACACTAGCAATATTTTAGATGTGTCAAAGTTTGAATCATGAACCTTGATCGTGGAATTCCACCAGGAGCATGATATTGTATATTTATAACTTTATTGTTTAATTATTAAAATGCTTTCAACAATAACTTTTGACTTATGCATTGGAGATTGCTTTTAAAGATACTATTTTTTTATTTATTTGACATAATAAATAAGTTTTAGCAATGACTAATCATTATGGTTGCTTTTAAAGCCATCATTAGGTTTTGCAACCACTCAACCCAATTAACTTAATTTTTAATGTTTTGATAAACATTCATTTAAACAAATGCTTGGCAATCCTATAAAAATGTATACTTCATTTGCTTTTAGGGCTCAAACAAGACCAGATTTCTACATATCTACACCTAGAGGGTAGTCATACATACAACTTCGAAACACTCTAGACCGCTTTCACCTACAAACCTATAAAAATGCATATTTTGGATGTGTGAAAGTTTCAACTCCTATCCAATCAACACCAATTATATAAAGGTTCAACTTGTGAAGGTTAATTTTATGCCTTGAGGCTAAAAAACCAACACAAGACACAAACAATATTTATCACATTATCATACGACCAATATCCTTATAAAATAACATCATCCTCATAAAAGAAATGATAGATCAAAATCTATTATTAGCAACCTAAGCTCTACGCGAAAGACCATTTGTGAGGATATCTTCAATTCCGATATGTAAACCTCCCAAAATCCCATATTGTGATACGGTTATTTCCAAGTAACTAAATAATATTTTTTTCAAAGTCAACCTTGAAAAGCATGAGATTTTCCTCTTATTTTTATATCTTTAAGCTATTTCATTAACCATTAGAGGCCCTTCAAGAATCTTAAACTTTATATGAAATCCAAAAAGCTAATAAGCCTAAAATCCTTAACAAACTAAGGATTCGACAATATAGGAATTTAAGTAACAAATGAAGCATAACAAACACCCGGGGTGTGGTTTCAGTCTTGAAACTGCATTACAAAATCTACCACATCTTTCTCAAGTAAGGACTGATATCTTTTAACAAAATTAAAGGAATACCAAAAATCTGCCTTGACCATAAGTTAAAAACAAACTTTTTACTTGAATGGGCTTTTTAACTTTATGATTATTCACTTTAAAATCCACATGCCATTTCTTAACACATTAGCTTTCAACATTTTGAGTTTTAACTTTAGAATGATAACACTCAATTCTTCACCATTTAAGCCGCAAAAAAGAATTAACATCACCAAGTTATAGTCACAACACCAAAACAAGATCATGCCTAACAATATAGCAAATAATTGATGACAAAATCCAAAATCTTCTCAACAAAGTTACATCCATTTTTGTTCAAAAAAGTGTCTTCTTAACTCTCAATAATCAAGAAAAATACCAAGTACACAAACTATTTGGAAAATTCCAAAATCTGGTTTTTTTTTTCTAATTCATACGCCTGATGAGCTCGTTAATGAAATCTTCACGATTACCAGCATCACCTCCTTCAACATAATGATTCCTCTTCTTCTTCATCCCTCCCAATGGAGCCTTCAACTTAAATGGCCATAAAAAGTTGTTGGCTTCCTTAAAGTGGGGCCCAGCAGTAAGAATCTCATGAATCAAATCCTCAACACAAATAAACCCATGTTTCCCAAGACCCTATAATTAATTATCACCACACAAATTATATAAACCATTTTCATTAACAAATATTTAAATGAAAAAAATTAAGTATTACCTGTTCCACAATGGAGTTATCTGTCAATGGAATCCTCTGCTTGTTTAGCTTCCCATAGCCTCTCTTGTATATCAACTCCTTCACACTCTTCAAATTCGGGTATCTGAAAATAAAAATGAATTTAAAAAAATAAATAAATATACTTTTGTAAAGTGAAAACTCGATAAATACCCGTATGTAACATATGGTTCCACCCTGTGTAGCATATTCAGTGTTGCCTTGTTGACTTTCAAGAACACACCATTGAATATCTGTAAGATAAGAACAAAAAAAATTACATTTTCAGTCCCTGAGTTTATAGCTGATTTTTTCAATTATGGTCCCAAAAAGTTTCATTGATTTCGGATAAAAATTAAAAAATTCAGGGACCAAAAGTGAAATTTACTATAAGAAGTAAGAATAATGGCACAAACAACATCACCTGTCTCAAACGCAAGAGCTGCAAAATCTTCTTGGATTTCGGGTCCATGGCATTGATACTGAATGTTTAGAAAAGATGGAATTTTAAATAAATAATCAGGTGTTGTTAATATTAGCAGAATTTAGTCATTTACAGTTTGCAATAATGCATACCCACGAATCCTAATGATGAACAGCATTTTGGCTTCAGGATTCACATAAAATCCACCCTTCAAACGTGCCTCACGTTTCAGCTGAATCAATTCCTTTTGCTGAAATTTATAAAAAAGATATATTAGTTTAAGATTTAAAGAGATAAAGAGGATAAGAATGGGATGTGAATCATATGATCATATATACCTGAGCTTCATACTCCTCACTGTATTTCTTGGCCCTGTTGAATATCAACTTCCTGTTTGCAGCATTCTTCTTCTTCAAAGCTTCAGCTTCTTGGTTTTTAGCCACAGCCCATTCCTCATTTCTCTTCTGCTTCTTCAATACAGATTCAGGAACCAATTGTCCTGCCTTAGCAACTTCAGCCATTTCTTCAGACTACATGAATACATTTCACAATAAATTACACAGAAAACAGACTTGTAATTTTGAAGCATTGAAATCAAACAAAACCACAAGCTACAAGATATTGAACCAAAAGAATGTCATATTTTATGTTCATTATACAAGGCAGCAAAAGATTTTTCAACTTAAGAACGACATTACAGTGAAAATTTTAAGCATTCGTAATACCGAAATCGAAGATATAACAGCTAAATCTGAATTTAAAGTGTGTATAAATGGCGGCAATTGTTCATAAATCATAATTCACGTAATCTGAGATGTAGGAACAATAACTTCAAAGCATGAATCAAAACCATGATTCTCGCAAAATGGCTGTCTTATCATAAACTCATTGAGGAAGATATCAAATCTAAGAGAAATTTCAATAACTATGTTCAAGTCACCTGATTACAAGCAAAGAAAAAAAAAACATTTCGACTTTCGAGGGCAAAACCAAGAATTTCCGATAAAGCATTACAGTAACAAATCTAAGCATTCAAAATACGTAAATCGGACAAATCACATCTCAAAGGTAATACAAACAACAAAATGCGAGACTAACACACGCAATACCGTTATACTTATCGATAGATAATGATTCTGGTAATCAAACGTGTAAGAATCACAGATACGCTCATTGAAGAAAAGACCTAGCAAACATACGGATCATATGAATGTAGGATCTGAAGAAGCTTACCAACTGAAAGTCTGAAAGCAGCGAGCAGGCGAGTAAGGGGGTGTCTCTTTTCTATGGCAAGTTCTTCTTAAAGGCGCAATGAAGATTAGGGTTTTGTGGGGTTAGTTTAGTGGTTTACAACGAAGCCCATCCAACAGCCCGGATCTGGACTTATGGAGCAATTCAAATTGAACAATCGTCAATCCGGCTAAGTTTGTGGGCTTAAGTTGAAATCCAACGGGCTTTTTTATATAGTAGACTGGATATTGTCATTTGTTTCTAAAAGGTGAAATAAACAATATAAATACATAAAAAAAAATTCATCAATAATAATAATAATAATAATAATAATAATAATAATAATAATATTATTATTATTATTATTATTATTATTATTATTATAAATAAAGTGACCAACCCTTATGAATAGTTCAATATGTGTTGTTTAGATTTTGGTTACACTATTTTGAGGGTTTGTCAAGTTTAGTCCCTTCACCGAATGATTAAACCCTTCTTCTATCAAATAACTTTTCAGTTCCTTCCACCGTTCCCTACATTCTCCAAACCACTGCCTCAATACTCCATAACTCTCAAATGTTTACTAATCGGTCGCCGCCTCATACATTCGTCTTTGTTTCGTGCCCTAGCAGTCGGCGTCGTGTGTCTCAGTTGAAAAAATCGTCTTTTGGACCCGGTCCGTCTAGGTCACGAAAATCTTCTTGTCAATTGACCTTCCAGTTCCTTCCTAAGCGAAATATTGACGTCAATCAACCCAATGGATATGTGAGTCCCTTTCTAAGCAATCTTTTCGATATTGGGTTTCAATCCCTTTCTTCCAAAGTGATTTTAGTCTGTGCTCTCACTAAATGATGAAAAACACCATGTCAAGAGGCTTTTAGAGATTGAAGAATTCGTTCTATTTGTAAACAAAATTAAGGTAATGATAACATAGTTTCAGTTAAGGTTTCCATTTGACACTTGTATTCTAACAAGATTTTCACTTTGCAGATGAGAGTTCAAGGTCAATACCACATGTACAAATCTTTTCTTGATAGGTTGAATAAGTATATCCAACATGTTTGGAATCAAGATTGTTAGATATTTTCTTCTTAAACCATAATATACTTATGTAGTTCTTCATTTGTAGGGTGAGGATGTTGTATACATCTCTAAACGTGGGTCTAAAAGTAGATTGCAAATTTGATGGTCTTGGTCTCCTCAAATGGAAATTGCAAGTGAAGACGACTCTGATGTGTCATTAACAAGCAAGCAGATCAACATCTACCATCCATTCTATTTTATTTGATATATAATATTATAACACAATTTAAAATAAAAAAAAGTATTACTCGCTTAACTGTTGGCCTTCTGTTTTTGGAAATGAAACGTATGTTAGTATCAAGTATGAAGATTCTTCAATGTTTTTGCACTAAATGTAAGACAATTTTGATGGTGAATGGAGGTCAAAATTCTATCTTTTTGTCAAAATAATTTCTATATAGTGTAAGTTACACTTTTGTCCCATGTTGAGGTGGTGTTTTTAGATTACGTCCAATAAGGAATCCATTTGGAGTAATGTTTCTTATTGTAGGTTTTCATGATTGTTTTTGGTCCCTCTCCAATGTACAATTGTAACATCCGGATCCCGAGGTACTTTATTGTAACATCCGGGTTTCTCTAAGGTAAAATTTTTATAAATAATTCTCAGTTTTGGTTGACCGCGACATGGTGAAGGCTCACCACGACGTGGCCATGCTAGAATGTTCGCGGGACTTTAATGAGCCCCCACGACGTGGCATTATTGGCCACGATGTAGCGAGCGGTTGAAACATTAAACCCTAATTTCTCAGGTATTTAAAGGAAAAAGGGAGGCTAGGGTTACCCACCCTCAGCCTCCATCACTCTTAAACCTCTGAGTTCATAACCATAATCTTCTTTGAAGCTTTTGAGCTCATTTGGGCCTTTGTGGGTGGTTTTTAACTCTTTCTTGAGGAAGAATACTCCATTGGTGTATTGTTTGGAGATATATGAGTTGTGGTTTACAAAGCAGTTGTGCACTGATAATACGTAAACGCATCAGTAACTTGATGTTATAAAATGTATTGTTGTGCATAATTTGATAAGTAAATGGTGCAAGCATATAAGTCAAAGTTTATCTGTTCCTTTTGCCCGAATGGGAAAAGCGATATCTTTGGGCCCCTTGGTGATTTGGTGTTGACTTATAGTTTTCGGGCCCGACCAGGACTTGATTAATGTGCTCGATTAGAAGTTTTATGTCCTTACAAATCAAAAAATTAGGAAATATAGTATTGGACAATGAGATTGATTTTATTCCATGTATCATAACCGAATGATATCTTGCAGAACGGGGGATTATATGATCACTTATCTTAGGACATGTAACTGATTGGGTCAGAGTTCGACAACGACTTTTGGTAGCTACATTTGCTGATCAATTTGGAAGTTATACTGGCAGTTATAGTTACAGAATTATCCAAGTGGGAGACTGTTGGATTAGGTGTCTAAGCCCACAACTATAATTGGTATAAACTTTAATTGATGGTAGCATAGTCCTTTTGGGTTACCCTTAAACCTATCAATTGGAAAAGATTATTTTGGAGAGAGAGGTCAGTTTATTATTTGAATAATAAATTGAAATAATTGATTTATTAATATGTTATGAAAATAATATATTAATTAGAAATCATATTATTTAATTAATGTTTAATTAGAATTAATTTGGTGATTAAAAGAATTAATTGAAAGTGCAAGGATTGAAGTGCAATCGTTCAATAGTTGAGCAAGAGGCGTTTTAGAACCCTCCATGAGGCTATGGACGGTTTTAAGGAGCCTTATGGTTTCTAGAATTATCCTTGGTGGATAATTAAGAAGCTGGATAATTACCCGATTCAAGATAATATTATTATATTAAGTTTGGACTTATCTAAGGTTTCCTGACTGCACTATAAATAGTCCCCTAGGCTATGAATTTCGGCACTCCTAACCCTATAAGAGATCTGGCCGAAAATCACCTCCTCCCTCTCCATAATCCTTAACTGCTAGTCTTGGGTGTGAGCCATCAGAGGCACGACGCTTGTGGTGCTAGGTGCCAAAAGATTTGAAGAAGGATCCAAGGTTGTTTGCAATAACAATCTTCAAAGTAAGTTTCCTATCCTATTGAATTCGTTTTTCATTAGAAAAAGTTTTGTAGAATGATAGTTCATAGTATGTTGCATATATGTGAAATACATAGATCCTCAATAGGTTGCATGTGTCATAATCATTTGAATTGTTTGAATGTTTTTCCGCTTAGTGCACAAAAATTTTGTAACCTACGTTTTCCATCACTTATCTGGTATAACTATATAGGTGGTGCGTAGCATCGGTATTCTGGCAGTGAGAGGTGAGTCTTATCACCATACTTGTGGGCCGAAGGCACAAATGCAGGCCCACTGATCTGTATATGTAGGATGTATGTGTTTATGTGACTATTACTGGTATGATTGTATGCCGTATGCAAGGAGCCGATCTAGGCTCGGAGTCACTATGGACTTAGGGTTGATATGGACCAAGGGGTTAACACGGACCCGACACAGCGACGTGCTGTTATATATATATATATATATATATATATATATATATATATATATATATATATATATATATATATTGTATGTGGTATTTTGGAAACACTCACTACGCTTTGTGTTATAATTTATGTTTATGGTTTCACGTACTTCCGGTACAAAAGGGAAGGGCCCGACATGATGACACAACATCCCCCTCATGTTTCGCACTTATGATATTTTTTACTCTAATGATTTTGATGTTTTGTAACACAGTTGACTTTGAGACATCTGATATATGGAATTAATGATTTAAAAAAAAGCGAAAAATTTTATCATTGTTTTTGGGTTGTTACTGTTGGGTTTTGAGCATTCTAACACTCCTATGGTGTACATGCAACCCTATAAACCTTGGATCTATGTTTTCTCTATTATACATGCAAATATTAACTATTCCAAGGTTTCATCCTAACTAGCATATTATGAAGCACCTATACTACAAAGTTCTAGTTAGATGACATACCTTTTGATGTAGCTTGATGTCTTCAAGCTTTAAGAGCTTAGCCCCAATAGTGTGGAAGCCTCAAATGGAATCACAAATCACCAAAACACCTTGGAAGAACTTGAGAGAATATGTATGCACACTAAAATCGGCCCACTCTTATTTTCACATACTTGTGCCAATTTTGTGAGCCAATGACCCCTTTATATATTATGGAGGATTAGGGTTACATCCATGTAAACCCTAATACCCATGACCTTTCATTTACATAGGATCCATGGGTTAAAAGCTCCATGGACCATCCATGAAAGCTTAGCCCAACCTAAATGAACTTGGCCCATTCCATATATATAAGAGTCCACATTTTATTAGTTCTTTTTGATCACTTAATTAATTCTAAATTAATTCTTGATCAATACTAATTAAATAATATGATTCCATATTAATATATTAGAACTTATAATATATTAATATAAATCATAAATATACTATTCTCAAAAGACTATCCATATAAATTGTGCCGGTGAAGTGCAACCCAAATGGACCATGCCGGGTCGGGTCAAGTACATACCAAATATAGTTATGGACTTAGACATTAATCCAACAGTCTCCCACTTGGATAAGTCTAAAACTATTATTGAGTATGACTTCAAAACCTAACTGGCAATCGTAGCTCTTAAAGCCGCTGTCGAACTCTGACCTTGTCAATGACTTGTCCATTAGACAAGGGATCATATATTCCTCCATTCTAGATATCATATGGACTGAGACATGGATTATCAATCATTCTCTCTGTCCATTTGTTGTTTCCCGATTTCCGATTTATGACGACTGACTGATTGAACAAATCAAATCAGTCCTGGCTTGGCCAAGCACTCACATGTGTCATCGCTAAATCATCGAGGGGCCCACATATATCGCTTTTATCCCGAAGGTAAAAGGAATGGATAAACTTCGACTCATATGGCTTGTTCTACTACTTGTTGAATCATACACAAAGGCACGTTTTATAACATTGAGTTACCAAATGCGTTTTCGTGCAATCAATGTATAACCAACTCATAGTAACAACTCATATCTCTAGGTTTGAAGAATATAAGATATTATCGTCTCATGATCACTCGTGATAAAATCCATGAAGTGATTCAAATGAGCGCGGGTTGAATCTAATACTCAGAACTTATGAGCACTCATGAGTGTTGTAGCACCACTTTGTCCACCAACTTGGACCTCTACAAACCAACCCATGACAGTCTTGATTCATATCTACTTCCACATATGACCGACTGTGGATGGTTTGAATAACTTAATCATTCAGGAAGAGCGACTTAGTTATTCTGGAAGTCAAAACATGCAAAGTGAAACACAAGAATAAATGAATCAAATATGGTATCAAACCCTATGAATATAAATAAACACTTTTATTTATCACCATACTGATTACTCATTATTCATTGTTTCGGTTTTATCAACTTTATACTTGAATTAAAAACACTAGTTGTCCCATGCTCCAAGCATGTACACTATGTTTTTCTTAAACAATAGCTTTGCCATACACCAAGTATGCACTCTATGTTTGTCTATGATCCTTACTTTGTGAAATAAACCAATTGAACATAATTTCAATGATTCTAATTTCACACTCCCAAATCCTTATCGAAAAATGTGAGAATTTCAAATTCCTATCATTTATCGAAATCTGTTTAGATTTTAAACTTATATGCACTGACCCTCCTGTAATGAATATGTACAATATTTACTAAACTTTAGTAAATCAAATAGTATAACCATATTGAGACTTTTCCAATGTTTCAATGTTTTGATTCCTATCATTTATCGAAATCTGTTTTGATTCTTCCCATTCGTTCTGCCATACATTGAGACTTTTCCAATGTTTCAGAATTATACTTAAACTTGTAAGTATAACCATATTTACTAAACTTTAGTAAATCAAATAGTCTTAACGAGCTTTGTGGTGGACATGACCAGTGCACAAGAATGTGTACTCG